AGTTTAATGGGCATCTTCATGTCGCATAGTAGCTCGCTTCTCTCCATTTGACAGACGCTTTTTTATACTGCATCCTTAATTAATTGTCGATTTTCCATCTTCTTGCAGATATAACAAACATATTTGAATTCTATGGTTTGAGGTAGCAGGCATCCCGTTTTTTTCACTCTTTTCTCCTCATTGAAATAACCTACCACATGTTCTGACCTGCCTTTGTTGAGCCAAAATCCGTTTTTCTCAAGAACCTTTCTCCGTCTTTTCCAGCTTAAGTCCTAATTATAATATTAACATTTTGTGTTGTGTGGCAAAAAGGCTGATCCATTTGCCATAAGTATAGCGAGTCCTAAATTTCTGCTTAACGCCCGTGACGTGCAGGTGATCTAAGTACCTTCAAATCATAGGCTAATGGTTTTTGTTTAATCGAAGAAGCGATTTTGGTTGTAAAAAGAAGAATGATGGGCAGAGCAAATGATGAATCGACTAAACAGAAAAATACGGAAAAAAGAAAAAAAATATCTTTTAAGTGGAGCTTTTAGCCTGTTTATGTCTTTTCGAACTGAATGAATTTGTAAAGTTCGGACGATTCGTCAACCAAGGTACATCAGTAGTTACTGAAAGAGTTGGAATGTTTTTTTTGTGTGGCTACTTATAATGAAAACAGCGTAAAACACGGTTCGTTTATACACAACGGAAACATTGTGGTCAGTCGGATGATTGACCACTACCGATGTTTCGCCCGTTTCTGACGGTGGACAGATTGATTGGCTGTAGAAGTGGTTTTGTCCTCCAACGAATCAAGCCAAACGTCGGCTATGAACGTTAGAATGAGTTTTAAGTCAGCCAGCCAACCTCTCTCGCTTGAACAAGGCCCTTAACACCGATCGAAGCGTATATACTGGTTAACCATCCAACTGACCAAACTTTTGTTTTATGCTGTTTCTGCTAACTAGAACAGCTATTTTATAAACTGTCAGTTATAGCCCAAATATTTTACCCAAATATTCTGGGATCGACTCCACGAGTGGAAGCGTTCGATACCGCCGTTAAATATGTAATTTAAAACGAAGATACCGGATTGAAACGGCGAAAATGCAGAGTGTACAGAAAGAAAAATGTATTTCTCACTTTACACCAACTGCGTTATTGCACCGCCCCTTGCAGCCACGCAACAGTCAAAATATATTGCACGAGAAACTGAACGTGTGATAAAGTTCCTCATCTACTGTCTCTGTCTTAGTTTCAAGAGCAGAATAGCAATTAAGTACTCTACGTGGAATTCTTTGCTCCTACACTTGAATTTCAGCATAATGATTCTGTCTCTGCTAACTGCTACACGAAATTTTTTTCCGCTTTTATACTGATTCGCAGTGCAACACCAGCTCAATGAGCACCGCATTCCGCTGCATTACTCCCGCCCACGTTATAGAAGCTATAGTTTCAAACGATCGCAATGGTTGTTGCGAGGCAGCAAGTTTCTTGTTGTGTTGCCTTCCTGTACGTTCCACGTTTCAAACTGCGTCCGATATTTACGACTGTAGGGTTTCCTTCTTCCCTCTACGGCTTTTTCGGATCCGTACTCACGTGCCGTATGATGTTTCTAATAAAATGCGGTCCAAAAGGAAACTTTACGTACGATTTCCATACTCAGAAAGAAATCCCTTGGGTAGTTGATGCTCCGAATGAGCTTCACTGGACCTTCGTTAACAATCCGTCCGTAGGTCAAGTTCTTGACGGGCGTCCGCGGCAACGGAAGCCTCTGAGAATAGAGTACTTAAATCTACTATGTCTTGCCAAGCATTCATTTAAACGCTTCTACACTGCCAGGTCCTTTGGACTAGAACGAGAGGTCGGCCTTTCACGACCAAGTCAAGAGGTGCATAGTCAAGGCAGGTTTCCTAATGGATTGTAGAGTAGCTGAAGCTGCCACAGCCGCAGGCGCCAATTCACTGATGCAAATTTTAATGCTGATCATATGTAAATGATTACGATACTTTTAATGACTAGAAAATGTATGTTGTTGCATTGAAAATCAAAGTTTCATTAAAGTGCATAATTGGTGGACGTTCATTTTACCATTTCTTATTATTTATTTGCGCTATACGTTATTTTTGCTGTTTTGCAACCCCGTTTACATTAATAAAGGCGTTTGTCGAATATCTAACGAAAAACGTTTCGCCCGTGAAACCTCTCGAATGAGATGTTGAAGTTTTCTTCTTCAGGTAGAGAGATCAATTATTCATGCAGTCCGTTTCAAATCAGATCACGGACTCACGCCCAAATGAGTATCGCAGTGGAAGGGACAAGCTAATAAAAAGTAAAATTGGACAGGATATCGATTGACAGGGATACATTGTGCTATTGATTATGCAGATATTCGTTTATCTCTTGATTAATATCGATTAAAGGTAAATAGAGTTTGACAGAAATTGAGACTTGACATCAGTCGAATGTGCTTGATGAACACAGATCACTTTCATGGATCGTTATGCGACATCATCTCCCATTGTTACATGAGCGGTGACAAATATCTGTGAAAGCGCAAAGACGTTAGTCGACTTAAAATATTAACTTCAATAAACAAACAGTCTAGTGAGGTGAATCAGTTTGTTTATCTAAATGTTATATCTCTAATTATCATTACCGATTACATTGAAGATGTCTACGTCTACGCATAGTAGTAGCCTGGGTACTGAACATGTGTGGAACCGGAAAACGTTAATTTTAGATGTCTCACTGGCTGGCCGA